ATATTTGTTTATACACGATTACAAATCGTTCGGAATCAAAAACACACGAGACCTACTTAATTTATTCAGTCTCCATAGAACGGTATATTCGTGAATTTGTCTTATTTCTATTTAAATTCGAATCAATTTATTATTTAAAAAAAAAAAAAAAAAACACGGTTCATCATATAGTTTTCGTTTGATTCGAAAGAAAATATATCAGTTTGTAACGTTTCTTTTCGTTTACATTTTATTTATGAAAAAATTTTAAATTATTAAGTTGACCGAACTTAATTTAAATTGCGACTCGTTAAAATAATAAACTGATTTCGGTAATGTGTGTAATAATAATATTACGTGCATATCTACACGTTTACACATGTGTATATGCAAGGTGATTTTATATCATCACTATCCAGCGATTATAATAATGAACGAAGGTTTTGAGACACGTTGATTTCGGAACTTTTGGTTAGCCATCGTAATACAATCGATTAATGATCTTATTGATAATTTTTTTAAAAACGTCACCCTTATTCAGTACAAGGTACACATCGACCCACCACAATCGATATCAACTTTTGATTTTAAAATTTCAATTCCCCGTTATTAGGATATTTGAATGTAGTATGATTATTAGAATGACAATATCCTAAAATAGCCTAATAGCCTGAAAACCTTCAAAATATATAATATATAAGTATAGAATTGCTCTAAAAAAAGATAAATAACGATAAAAATTGCATACAAATGTTTAGAATATGCAAAATCAAACTTTGTATACAGGTTCGTTGAGTCATGAAACACATTTTAGAATAAACTCCCTAATTTTTTTGACCAACATTGAAAAATATTCAAAAGCATATAAATATGTGTCCTGGTCCTAATAGTTTAAAACTTAAACCATATTAGTATCTAGAGAAGGGAGACGCGTAAAATATTGGAAAATATTTTGTCAGAATCGCATTATGTCGGAAAAAGAATTCGTCGGAAAGTATTTTATCGGATCCGTATATTGTAGGAAAGTATTTTTTCGGAAAAATAATTCGTCGGAAGAAAATGTTTTCCCAACAACGACAACATGCAGTCACGTACTGCTTACGATGAATTTATATTGAACAGTTCCGACAAAAACTTTCTGACTAAATATTTTGTCCGAAAATGATTATGGAATATGATTCCAATAAAATGTTATTCCGACGAAATATTTTCCAACAAATTATAGCCTTGCCTGAGAAGTAGTTATTGCATTAAAAGAGATACGAAATGTATGATCGCTTCCTGCTCTAAATTTTATAAATATTGTAAATAAGACCATTAAAAAACGAGAAAAAACCACTTCATCCATATTGTGCACAATCGCTGGATCGCAATAAAATCGTTCTGTATATTTATGTGAGCATTTATAGTGTGGCACATTATTTTTTTAAATTTAAACTTTTCGCGAAAATGAAACCTCGCATATGCAATATCATCACCGTCGTGAGTTGTGTTGTTTTTAAAGAAGTTATACGTTATTGAGATACCTGCGTCACTGGTGGAATGATTACAATTTCAAATTATATTATATCATCCAAAATGTTCAATAGGACGGAAATTGTATAAAAACCACTTACGTTGAACGTGAAAAAAAGTTTTCAACAACACAATAATATTCGTTTCGGAAAATAATTCATTTTCACGTACTCCGCTACCATAGTGTATAACAGTAAGTACATATTGTAATATATTATACGTATAAACACTTTTTATAAGGGATATTGAGATGTGTACTTTTGCTACCATCTCCCCAAAAAAAAATAAAATAAATATTTAATAAATGATTTACAAATACTTCAATCGTACTCCAATAATCCAATTATATTATATAATGTATTCATTTTTATTTTAAGAAAATCAAAAAAAAAAAAAAAACTAATTAATTCAATTACAATTTTGAAATATTCAATATAATATTATGTTTATATTTTTTTTTGGAGAGATCGGTGTGCCACTGATTATTTTTTATTTTTACTTTGTTATTCTACTACAGTTGCCTACTAGAGAAATATTAGGGTTTTTAATATTTTAATTAATATCACTAATGATATTTTACCTCCTGGTCAAATTTTTCAAGTGAAATTTTACCAGGAAATAAGGGCCGGGGTGAAACTTTACGGAGATTAAGTTTCGCAATTATACCGGAATGTAGGTTACATATTTCGTAACTTTTATAATAAATTGTGATTGTGCGTACAAAAACGTTAAGAAATGATCAATGTTTGATATTAAACTATTATTGCGTACCTGTGTACAATAAATAATACATACTATTATATTCGTGATGACAAAATAATGATGATTCCGGTGGGCGGTGAGATAAAAACTTAATTAATTACAAATTGAAATTAGAAAGCCTTCTTATTTGCATATAATAATTGAAAGTATACCGGCAAGTATACCTGAACAGTTCTGCCACAGTGTCTTACGGTAGTAATATTTTTTGTAAAACAATTTAAAATAAAATCGTATTATTTCGACGAGTAACTGCGCACAAATGATAATACAACGTAGGTAGGCTGCACAGAACTTTTATTGAATTGAAACTGTTAAACAATTTAAATATGAATTCGGTGGTGAAAAAAAAAAAGCAATAAATAACATTTGCAGTTACACTGCACTGCAATGGGTGGGAGGATGCAATTCCAATAGCTTCCTTGTTCTATTTGAATTTTTTTCTTTTTGTTTACGTGATACACGAACATTTGGTCCATAGTATCTTTACCATAAATATACTTAACATGATAATATGGACGCAGTAGCGGATTTTCAACATTTTTCTGGGAAGAGTCCTGAAAAATTATATGCATTTAATTTATAGGGTATTTCTATTAATAGATGCCTCTTTTTTTGGACATTTTATTGGAGTTATATCACTGTGTGGGAAGATCCAAACCCCCTGGACCCCCTCCCGTAAATCCGCAACTGTATGGATGCGGCCTTCCTACAATATAACAGGGTGAAAAAACCATATTTCTTAACCTAACCTAACAATTTTTCTCTCTCAAAGGAACGTTCCCCAAGACAAAAAAGTATTGTGTAATAGATGTGCAGCGATAATATTGATACTATCACTAGTATCAGCCGAGTAGAATTACCTTGAAAAATATCAAGGACCCGTGCAATTAATTTCACAGGATTTTTCTCACAGTAGCTAGTACACCTTGATATAATTTGTTCATATTAGTGCTAATAAACTTGGCCTCTGCAATCTGAAATACACAACCATTCTGGCTTTAACAAATTTTATTAAACAAACCTTTGCCTGTTGGTATCATCGTCGATTTTAAAACATACAAATCTCTCTTGAATTTCAATAACGGGATTTTCTGCGTGTATTGTAAAATAAATAATAACCGATAAATATCCTCGGTGACTAACGTCAGGGCTGTAATCTAATACAATCTATGTTATTGAATAATATTTAGACAGTTTTATTCTATTAAAAATGTCTAACTTTACTGTTTAGTCATTCTTGTAAATTTCTGTTCATTTTGAATAAGTTAAACAACACAATGCATATGTGCTCTTTTAGTGCCAACCGTTTTGCTATAACCATTTGAAACACGATCTTTCGGCACAGTATACAACTTTTCTATTATTGCAGTGCTTCTAAAAGCGTGGGGCTCTGCTCGAGAGCACGACTTTTATCGTCTTCAAGCCGGCCACGCTGAGTCACGGTTTCAGCTGTGATATCGTACAAATGTGGTCATCGCTGCATCCATAAAAAATTTGTTCGATAGCTATAATATTTACACTGCCGTTTATTTTCACCTATAACTATCCCAATTCGTCCAACAGAAAAGAGACTTTTCAGATCCAGTATATTGAGTTGCAACGTTGTTTGTGCAAAACAAAAACTTCATACATATCCAGCACGCGTGGTCTTATGCATATTATACTATGGTTGATATTTTCATCAATTTTTCCCCTTAATGTAATATGTATTTCATTTATTTGCTCTTTTGAAAACATCCTCGTTTATATTGTATAACTTACTATAGTAAATAAATAAGCGGAAACTTTTCCACGCGTCGACGAATATGACGTACCAACAATTTCCCAACAAAACTCGTCCACGCTGTTCAATGCGGTTATATAATATTTATCTAGCATACAAATCTGGAATTTTCGTTAACAAAATCGTTTCGTATGCAATAACATACACGAATTATTATCGAACCGGGAATTTTAGATTATCGTTGTTGGAAACCTACTGCGGGCCGTTCTTATATTATATTTTTATTTTTTGGTTTTGGTTCGACAAAATTCACAATCGTTTAGACGAGCTATGGAAAATAATATTTAAAACGTTTAGTTATGTTTCTCTTCTGCAACCCGTAAGATTACCTATATATTATGCAAAATAAAAAACCTTTAGAGCTTAGAACGATACCAGGAAACCGAATAATTACCTACTTACCTAATTAAGATATTATGCGACCGTAAAGTTTTGCATACACACGTACAGAACTACACGCAGTTCATAGTGTATTATAGTGTACCTACAGACAAAATGGGGAGCTGGTTGAAACGACGACAATCAAAATATTGACATGTTAAAATGTCGACGGTCGAAACAACGACAAGTTTGACAAGGGCAAAATGTCGACAAATTAAAATAAAATAACAAAACACTATGAATTATGCGAATAAAAAAAAAAAATATAAGAAATTAATTATATAAATAAAATAAATATTATTGAATATAATTTATAAATAAAAATAAAAAGTATGAACCATGAAATAATATAAAATTATAATATCATATTGTAAGCAATTCCTCTTAAAAACTCTATAACTGGAACGTTTCCGCGATTTCGTATTACATTTTGGATTCTGTCCTCTCGTTGTTCATTTTTCTTTTTTGAATGTAAACGAGGTACTCCACGAAGTACTGACTCAATAATTATTTCTGTATTCTTTTGTCCCTTTGTAATTATTTTATTAAGTGGTATACTCCTACGTGTGATTCACCAACAAGACACTCCCTACGTCGATGCCAAGCTTCAATATTATTTTGTCTTTTTGGAATATTAGTATTAAAAACAGACGCAAATCTGGTGAAAATAATGGTAATTCTCAAACAAGGTTATCATTTCGTAGTGTTTTTCGAACTTGACCAAAACCATAACTATCCTCAAACCACATTATTAGATGTTTCTGGTCATATTCTATTTCTAGTTGTTCTTTAATTTCAGCAAATATTGATGGAATTTCTTCTGGTGGTAAAAAAACAAGAGCAAGCAAATTACGGGAAATACTATTTATTTGATCGTTAACTGTGTATACAAAGTTACATATACCACTGAGTATACAGTATTCAAAAGAATACTGTTCACTTTATACTTTTATCCGTTCACAAAATAATGTTAAATTATAAAATAAAATTTTTTTTTTTTTGTTATTTTGTACTTATCGATATATTAACCTATCGATATTTTGTACTTGTCGGTATAATGACCGGTCGATATTTTGTACTTGTCGATGTTTCGACCATCGATATTTTAACTTTTCGATATTTTGATTGTTGACGTTTCATACCAGACCCGACGAAAAATGTTGAAAGGATGTCACAACTGGAACCGTTTTACATACGGACGACACAGCAAATTTGAGCTCAGTAGGACGCATGCTGTGCCGTTAGTTTTAATATTTGAGTGAATTGACTTATTACTAGACTTAAAGGTAAGAACATTGTGTATGTATGTCGTTATTTTTTGATATTGTAATTTTCAAGCACGATATGAGTATGCATATGAAATGTCATAAATTAAAAATGCATATGTATCACATAAAAATTGAAATATCGATAAAACATCAATAAAAAGACACATATAATATTCTAACCTTTATAGTTCATAATAGGTCAATCCACTTTAATATTAAAACTCACAGCACAGAGTATGTCCGAATGAATGCAAATTTAGTACTTCGTGCGTTTGTAAGATGAAGACTGTAAATACGGGTGTAGCGGCCTCTTAACATGTGATTTATTCAGATAAATTATCTAGTTAGGTTTAGATCCATATTTTTTTTTTGTCTAGACAAATGAGAAAGAAGTTATCTGAGTCGTTATAAGATAAATATATGACTGAATCATCGAGGTATTTTTCTTGTTTTTTTTAAATCGTAGTTACTTTAAACAAAAGAGTAAATATTGTAGCGTCCTATACTTATAAAAAAACAAATGGACATACTTCGCGTGATCGATGGATTACTGTTATAGGTGAGAAGTTGGGAAAACAGAAGGAAAATCGTAGGTATATCTGTATGCAAAGATAAAATCATTGCTAACAAAAAATGATTCTGAGTGAAGTTCGGTTACATACAATATGTTTTGAAAAGCCGTAATATTTACGATTTGAAAATAATACATTTTGTAAATTTTCCCGTTTCTTTTCCATTCATTATGAAAATCCCTAGGAAAATCTAAAAATAATCTCCCTAAAGTACCACCCCAGTCGGGTTTTCTTTCATAAAAAGTACTAAACTTGAAAATCACAACAAGATTTCTAGTAGAAAAGTTGATCACAGGAAAAAGATAAGCATCATTGTAAAACCGATACATTCTTCGCTCCATTCGGGATTCTAAAAATTAACAAATATTTCAAAAGCTCTTCATGGCTTTTTTTTTTTTTAGAAATTTGGCGATAATGTTAACACACTACATTCACAGTAGTTATTTCCAACCACTAATAATTGTGATGATAATATGTCACTTTCTCCGCACTAGCCTAAAATGCATAAGTTTATTAAACTTGAATTAATTCCAACGTCATTGTTCTTAGTCAATGTAGGTTTTTTTAGGAGCAGGTTTTGATCATGTTAGGGTTAATAATGGGGAACCGGTGAAGCTAGCTGTATTAATGGATATAGGTGCAACGCTCGGATTTTATTATCGTACGTCCATGGTTCGGCGATCTGCAAAAATTATTCGCTATTAAAGTCTCCCTCGATTGAAACAAATTTTCGGTTTCAAATGTTTACATAAAAATACTAATAAACATTGTTATATCTACCGTGGCATATATTTTTCGTTTTATGTTTGTTCGGCGTAAATATCATCGTGATATTCTGCGTATTATGCAGAATTGTACACCGGCTTTTAATGAACTCGACACTACCGCTATCGCTTCAACTCCATTATTACACGTCTGTTGCGACGTATATATTATAAACACACGAGCATATTGTTTTAAAATATCAATATAATATTATACGTACAGATGGTTTTGTAGTGAATAACAAAACTTTTATATACGAGAATACTGTATTTAGCTCGCAAGTTCCGCCGCTGCGTTTATACAATATTTACTTTTTTTTTATGTATATTATCCCCGCAGTTGACTTCAAAAGTTTTCCGAAAAAAAATTTTCTGAACGTAATATTATGAAATAAATTATTGCGCATGTCTCAAAAAAAAATATTATATTCTCGACGAATAGCTATCCGATTTTGAACCATGCACCGTTATACAATATTGATCTCCCGTAATAATAATATAATGTTTACTCAGGGAAAAGACCGCTTGAAAGCGCGCGGACGAGGTGAAAAGACGTGGAAGAACTAGGAGGGTATTGGAAAGCACGAGCATCAGATAGTGGTCAGGACATATGACGGAATGGACCCATAGAGACCACTTCTGTACGTCAAATAAGAAGGTATAATGTAAGACGGTTGATAGTATTATTTTACATTTTTCTCTTTTATCATCGTCCATCCTATTACAATTTGAAAATTTCAAACAATATCGTGTATTGAAAGTTCATAGACTGTCATAGAATATTGGTAATTCTATGATTTCCGTAAACAAATCATATTTTTACCGGGTTTCACCAGCCATGACGAGATTTTATTCAAAACTCTTTCATTTTTTTTTTTTTTTAAGATTCTACGCGTTCGCGTGAAAAATGTATTGGTTTTAGAATGATATGTGTTTTTTTTTTCTATTTGTAGCCCACTTTTCCCCAGAAATCTTGCCCCAATCTTTAACACCCGAGGTGTTGATTTTTACTTAAGAAGATAATATTTATTTGAATTATAAAAAATGTTTTGAACTTTTAGACAAAGAAATGCGGAAAATAGCAATCTACTTTTTAGTTAAAAATGAATATTATTTTTTATTTCAACTACCTATCATAAATATATTGGTTTCTTTTTTAAAGTATAAACTTGGATAAGGTACAAACATGGAAAGTCAACAATCGAAGAATAATAATATTATACAATATAATGACGCGTTTGACATTTCAATTTTTGCCTTTCCAAATTTTAACTGTCTAGGTTTTGATTTTTCGTGTTTTTTCGAAAATTTTCTTGAATAATTCGGATTTATACTTTTGGGTTCAGCATCAAACACTCAGGCAAGAAAATAAAAACGTTAAAATGAAATTAAATTCTCGAGGGTATAGGCCGGTGATACTTTATACACGTTAGTTTAGTCAGTGCTACACTCAAAAAACACTTAGGTATTTGAGGCTCGTGTAATTCGTCGATTTTCTAAGACCGTCTTGTGTATAATAATATTATTGTATAGGTTCCTAATATTGATATTTAGAAAGTTACTCTTGTATAGTTGTTTATCAATTACCAGTTACTACGGGCGTATAGTATACCCGGCTTAGACATCATTTAAACACGGCTATATTGGAAAATTTAAGTTCGATCGCTCTCCTACGCATCAGTTTTATTACATGTCCCCCAAAATGATATACTTCTGAACGCAAAAAAAAAAAAAAATTGTTTATTGTTCAATATGTATACGAGGATTATGTCATATTTTGCCGCGTGGTATCTAGAAAAACAGTGACAAGGGACGAAATATTAAACACCTTGCCGTGTATAATAATAAGTAAGTATTATAATAATACTATGTATTGTTATGAAAATAATAAACGTTTGTTAAACTAAAAAAAAAAAGTTCTCACTGTTGTTCCCCCCTCAGGACTTGGCTATGGCACCGATATTTTTTCGTACTTACTACCTACGCACAGCGCACCGAAATTATTATATACATAGTAAAAAAAATAAATAAAATCACAATCTTAATCCCCAACCAAAGTGCTGCGTCGATATAATATGTTCACGTGTGGAAATTTAATACCACAATGTAGATCATATTTACACCTACGCGTATTTAATAATGTTAAATCGTATAAAAAAAAAAAACACCAAAAACACCAATTAGTGTTGGTAAAGATATATGATCTTCGAGATATAAGGCGCCTTATACCTTACATCTAAGATATAAGGTCTATATAAAATTCAAAGCGTATTTTTGATTTTGTCAAAAATAAAAATAATGTCGTGTTTTGTGCCTTGGATTCAGTACATTCATCTAGTATAGGTGTTCCGTATTTCAAAAGTATTTATGTAACTTGTATCTTATGTGTCGTAGTAAAAATATAGATGTATCTAGAAAATTCGTGTTTTTTTTTTTTTTTAATATAAAATATTTCAAATATCTCGCTCTTCTCTGCTCACGTCGGTGTTTACATGCTCAAATAAGTCGACAAAAACCGGCGTGCCCGAAATTCGCGAAACGAATCAAATCGAGAATCCCAAAAACGTTATAAATGTTGTCGCAATGCGAACCGTCAAGAAATCTACTCGAGGCGGTGGCGGGTTAATATGCAAACAAGCGCCACCGATACGACTGGCAGGCGCACTGTTTTCGGGATGCCAAAACAAGCGTACATGCACACCGAAACCGATTCTCTCGCACTGCCGCCTCCGTCGGAAAAGTTAAGCAAAAGGATTGCTGTTAAGACGGTACACGAAATATTCCCGTAACAGTTATTGTGTGTAACACAAAAGGATTTGCCGCGTCGGAGAGACAATACAATGCAATATATTGAATGCTATTGCCGGGAGCCGTTTAAACGGTTAAGGGTCGGCGTGGACGGTGAAAAAGCAATGCAAACAAAACCGGTCAAGACGCGGCGCACTATATCCGGAGTATTGAATCGACTCCAATATAACGAAACAACTATTTTTGGGTAATTTGATACGGGACCCTTTGGCTGATAATTCTGAACGATATTTCCACCAATCGGTAATTACAATTGCATGGTCCTGATTTCGAGACAATCCGTTTTATCCGGATTCTCGGATCCAATCCAGATTTTGGACCATGGAGCAAATCCGTTCATAAAATAGTATAAATTAGATATAATAGATGCCGTCAAACGCGAGATAGCTAAATGGATATTATGTTAAATCGCACAGATTTTCGGGTAATTATGTTTAGTGTTTAT